ATATCTCTTTCTACATCACACTTGGAACTTAGTTTCAAAAAACATGGAAAAACTCTCTCATCAGTGAGGACTATCCAGCATTATGACTAAAGTGTTTTTACTGTGCACTTGCTAGGTATCTATTCACAGCTCACTTAAGCACAAAAATCACACACATTAGAGTGATTTCGATGGCTACCAGGATCATATCCCTAGAGGTACAGGAGGCAACTACTTTTCTTCCCTGAAACTCTTGCCATTGGCTTCAATTAAACACTGCTCATGTATGGTCTCACGATTCTGTATTTGTGCTCCTCCAGTTTTTTTCTGTTTGGCATGCATTTTTTTTTCCATCCTCTTAAAGTCCTACTTACCTGTGAAAGTCCTACTTACCTGTGAAAGTCCTACTTACCTCTCAAGGTCTAAACACTGTTCATATTCATAACATTAATACTTCTTTCACTGTATTAATGTCAATTATTTTCCTACTTGATTACTGCTTACAAGAGGATGGGGTACCTTATGGGCAGGGACACTACTTACTCATCTTTATATTCAGTGCCTGGCATATGGTACAGGTTTCCAAAAATGCTTGATTGAGTCCAGGCACCATAATGAGCTGCTTTGAGAAATAGAGCATTCCCTTTTCCTAGAGGTGTTCAAAGCAATAGCCAGATAATCACTAAGGAGATGCTGTCGAGAGGATAAAAATCTTAGGTGATTGGACTAGACTGACATTTAAAAATCCTTTTGGCCCAAAGACTCTGAAGGATGCATTGCCCCCTAGAGGTAGGCCTTTTTTCTCTTTTTTTTTCCCACTCCTTAAAAGAATCAATTCAGAAAGTCTCAGTTAAGAGCAGATTTTAAAATCTTATGCCACTGTGTTTCTATCATTTGTTACATTTGCATCAGCTCATGAGTAAGAACTACCATCTAAATGCAGCAACTGAAATGTTATTCTCAAAAAAAAAAACATCAAGAAATAGAGACAGAAAATAAGTGTGAATTATTAGATATAGATTACAAGCCCTACAAGAGAGAAAAATCAAGGGGAGCCAGAGTGATCAAGGAAAGAATCTTTAATCAGGTATTGAGGAATGAATAATATATAAATGGTCAGAGAGAGGCACTTCCACGTTAAGAAAAGCAAAAGCAGGGAAGAAATGGACAAAATAAACCTAGTCTATACTGAGGACAAGAGAGCAATGTGGCTAAAGCTCAAGTCAGTGTTGGGAATAGTGGGAAATGCCACTTATCCAAAAAATTGGGGCCAGATAATTGGGGGTGTGGAGGGGAGCTTGAGGAGCTGGTAAGAGACCATTGAAGGTCCTAAGCAGAAGAATAAGGTGATGAAAGTGTTTTAAAAAACAAGGCTGGTAGAACACTCCAGGATGGACATGAAGGGAGAGCCCAAAGTAAAGGGTAGTCACTGGAAGATGGTCATAACCTAGTAAGCTGAAGGGATCAAGGTTCTGTCCTGGGGACAGGGGAATCACTGGGAAAGGAGAAGAGGAATAGCTCCGAAAAGGAGTTAGAAGGATCTGTTGACTGGATATAAAAATTATAGAAATGAATACGTCAAAAATGATGGAAAAGATGGTGGTGCCAAGAAGAGAGTCAAGGAAGTGAAGAAAAGAAGCTGGATTGGAGGGCAAGGCGGCTTTTGGACATGTTGAATATGAAGTAAGAACAAAACATTCAAGTGTGAAATATCCAGAAGCAGATAAACTATGGGACAGAAGTTCGGAGAAAGAAAAGGACAAACTAGACTTAAGGATTTTCTATGCAAAAGGAAAAGCTGAAGTCCTAGAATGAGAAAGAGAGGGAGAGAGTGCATAAGAGCCCAAAAGTGATGAAGAGTTGAACCTCGACGATATTTCAAACTAGAAGTTCAGAAGAATATGGGCACAATGAAATGAATAGAAAAGAATCAATCAGTGTGAAATAAAAATTCAGGATCCAATAGTGTCACAGAACACATGAAAGGAGTTTCAAAAAGGACTTGATGATAGATGGTGAATGATGAAGCCAGAGCATGTAAAAAATACCATTATATTACTTATGAATGAGTGAGTTTTTCCTCCTCTTAACTAAAAACACAGTATATAAAATTATTTAATTGGTGAGTGTACAGGAATAGGGATTTCGTGACTGTAAGCTATGCTCTGTTTTATGTACGTTAATGATAAAAGGGAGATATATTAAGATGTTTCTATTCTTTGTGCAAAGATATTTATACAAAAATAAACATAATTCTGTTAATATGGAATTGATTTTGAGGAATGTTATTTAGAATTTGCACTCTTCTGGGAGCTATTACATTATATAATAGGAATAATACTGAAGATGCTAAGTATTGGTTATATAAGTGTGCGGGTAACATATTAAAATGTACAAGTCCTAACAAAATTTATAAGAAATATCCAAAAACATTTAAAACTGATATAGGGACTATTAAGTAACTCATGGGATACTGCTAAACATACAAAGATGATGTGGTTCTGAGTGCTCAAGAATCCTTGGGAAGTAATTTTTCTCATCTACTCACAAAACTCACAGTCTGTATGCAGGGTTTATCTTGAGCCAGACTTGCATCTGTGAACCATCTGAAAAGGCACTAGAGCCATAATGCAATGTTTCTGGTCAGTTTTGGTGTTAAAAGCACTCAAATCTGACTGATAGATATGAGAGGAAGCCCTGTGCCTTTTTCCGCTGTCACTGATGGACTGGAAGCTGGCTTCTGGAACAGGAGTGTGAACTCCTGTGCAAGAAATGCCCTTTACTTCTCCTAAATAGTAATCGACAAGTTAATAATTAATAACAACCATGGGCAGATCCAAGTTTGGAAGGACCTGAAGCTTATAGAATTTAGGTGCCCTTTTTAAGAAAAAGGACTGCAAAATTACAAATACAAGATTTAGTATGAAGCTGGTAATTTATTTAAAACGAGAACCAAAAGGGACTGAAACATCTAAAAGCATTTTAAACTGACATAGGGACCATAAAGCATAAGGGTAATCAGCTGTACGGTAAATCCACCCCAGCTCACCATCAACTACTGGTAATAAAATGTGGAAAGGGGAAAAGAGCAGGTAATCAGAAAGAGAAAAAAGAAAAGACAAAACTCTCCTGAAGAAATAGTGGAGCATAGAACAAGAAAAAGATAAGAATAAAATCCCAGAAAAAATCCTGAATTGTGAAACATGAAGTATGGAGATGGGAAAGGAGTTAGAACTCCTAATCAATTTATACAATATATTATCATCATATTTATTTTCCAATGATCAACAATCATATTGCTTCTAGGTGTTTGGAAACACCAGTGTATTTCATTGCAGACACTCAACAAGTGTTTGT